AAATAAATACAAATAAGAATAAAATAAAATAAAATAATAAGAAATTATGAAAGTGGAGGAAACCCATGGTAACAACGGTTAACAAACAATAAAATTCACTCAACTTTATTTAATTTATTTATATAATTTTTAATTTATCTTAATTTATTTATGTAATTTTTTAATTTATTTATGTAATTTTTTAATTTATTTATGTAATTTTTAATTTATATTTTATTAATAACATTTTCTTTATTTTACTAAAAAAATTTTTTTAATTTTTTATAAATCTTTATATTATTTAAAATAGGATTTAAATGAGATTTTAATTCTTCAAGAAATATACTCGTTTGTTCATCATTACCTTTCTCTTCTATTTTCAATATATATCACAAGTTCTTTTCATAAGTTCTTACAGTCAATCACCAATTTTCTACTACCTTTTTACTTATAATTTTTTCTGACATATTTACCTCAATTAATTTATGATTAAAATATACTTCAAATCTATTTTCTTCAAACATTCATTGGAATTTTATTCAAGTATCAACTGTAAGTAATTTTATGATACCATATATATGCTCATGAAAAATATAACAGCAGGGAAGTAAATATTGGTAATAAAATAAACAATTATAATATACTGATATCAAGTTCGAAGAGGATTTTTTTTTTTCAAGATATTTTTCAACCCTATAAGAAATACGTATGTTTAAAAAATACTTAAAATATAGTTAAAATATCATTGAAATATTATTAAAATATTTAAAATATATTTAAAATATATTTAAAAAATACTTAATTTAGATAATGAGTAAGTATGTTTTAGGTATATCAGTTAGTATATATGTCCCCTGATCAGCTTGTGAAATATTTTTAATTATAAGATCTGCAAACTGCATTTAATAGTGAAAAATTTAAATACATATGAAAAACGAAAAAATTTCATATCAAAATATTACATAATATCATGTGATATAAAATAGTTAGGGATATAATCTACAATTTAATAATACTAATTTTGCTTTTTTGTATTTAATAACTTTTCTGGTTTAAAAGAATCTTGACACCAAAGTTAAGATAAATTTTAATTAATTAAAATAAAACCACATTTAATAAACAAAAATACTCTTGAAGAGAATGTTTCTTTATGTTTTAATGACTATTCAGAAAGGTCTGAAGATGAAGAAGCTGAGACATTTGAAGAGTCTGACGAAGAATTCGACATATTTGGTGAACTTCCTGAAATAGAATTATTTAAATTTAATAAAGAAAATTATATTAACGCACAAATAACACTTGAAAATGAAATTGTAAATCAGTTAAGTGACGAAAATGAAAATTTTAAGATCAAGAAATTCTTTCAGTTCCTTCGTCATTACCATTATCTTCGACAACACTTGTGGAAGAAGTAAATGAGTTATCTTATATACTTGACCTAACTATATATAAAAATTTTTCACCTTGTGTTTTAATTGATTATTTCAATAATAAATTACAAATATGTGGTCAAACAACAAATGTTAGAAATATATGCCAGTTAGTTGGAACTTGATAAATTGATGAGAATACAATATTAAATTACCAATCGAAAGGAATATCATTGGGTGTGTGTATGAACTATTTTAATTATGATCAAAAAAATCATAACGCATATTGCAAGCAATTGAAAAAACCTGAACAAAGCGAAATTCGTCGTCGATGTTGCTTATTTTGTTTTTAAAATTTTCATTTCTTTAGTTGTGAACTTGGATGTAAAAATCATTTATGGAATATATGGAGAAAAAACATTCAAATTCCATGTATCGGACTTTATACATGTGATGCCATATATAAATACCAAGGCATCTCTAAAATAGTTTTTGATGATGCCTCAACAGTTCGGTACATTTGTAATAATTGTTATGAATCTTATGGTGGGCATCACTGGTCAAAATCTGACATATCATGCACTTATCATGCACCAATCATGGTGCCCGATAGGTACCCGATATACATCTT